GGAGAGTGAGTGAGGGCATGAGGGGGTGGGTGAGGCAAGAGCTCAAAGGCCGAACAGTATTTTAAGACAACTGGGCTGAAGGACTAAAGAACCAAGAGGTCCATTTTAACCATGTCTCAGAAGTCAACAGCTTCTGTTATCTCCTCCAATTCTCTTCAAGGAGCAGCAAGTTCAAGTTCCTGTGGCTCCACAAACCCTCCCCCTTCCTCCTTCCCTTTGGAACAAGGGAGCCAGGTTAAAGATAAGATGTCTCCTATTTAAGATGCACAAAAAGAGGAATTTCTTCACTCAGAAGGTGATTGATCTCTGGGGTTCTCTACTCCAGACACGTCACTGAATATATTCAAGGCTGGATTACAGAGATTTTTTGACTGACACAGAAATCCTGGGAGTGGGTGACAGACCAGAAAGTGGAGTTAAGGTCACAGTTACTGAATGATAGAACAGGCTAGACGGCTTGAATGGCCTTCTCCTGCTCTCAGTGTTTATGTTCTTATATTCTTGTGCATTTGACATTTGAAGCCTCTTCCGGAGTGCTGTGTGCAGTTCTGGTCGCCCTGCTATAGGAAGGATATTATTAAATTGGAGAGAGTTCAGGAAGGATTTACAAGGATGTTGCCAAGAATGGAGGGTTATGTTATAAGGATAGGCTGGAAAGGCTGGAACATTTTGAACGGCAACATAGAAGGACAAGGGGTGAACTTATAGACATTTACAAAATCATGAGGGGCATAGATAAGGTGAATAGCAAGGGACTTTTCCCTAGGGTAAGGGAGTTCAAAACTAGGGGGTATATTTTTAAGGTGAGAGGAGACAGTTTTAAAAAGGACATGAGGGCAACTCTATTACACAGAGAGTGGTTTGTGTGTGGAATGAGCTGCCAGAGGAAGTGGTGGATGCATGTACAGTTAGAACGTTGAAAAGACATTTAGATAAGTACATAAATAGGAACGGTTTGGAGGGATATGGTCCAAAGACAGGCAAATGGAACTAGTTTAGTTTGGGAACGTGGTCGGCGTGGATGAGTTGGACCAAAGGATCTGGTTCCACACTGTATATCTATTTTGCAGAACACCTTTCTATACGCTAAATTAGTAAACAAGTATTCACCAGTAGGCAAGTATCATTCTCAAACACGTTATTTATTGTTTGTTTGTAAGCTCCATAAATATAAATGGAGCTGTCTGCTATATGAATTACCACGATGGGTGCAGCCCATTCACTGTTCTTCACCTTCCTAATGAGTCCTATTCGTTCTAATTCCTCCGTTGTTTATCTACTGCTGCCATTTATGGATATGGCACTGGCTTTGCCCTGCAAGATATCCTTGATCTTGACTTCAGTCTGGTGATGGTTAGCTTTATTTTTGGTGCTGCATGCTCACGGACCACTTTTTGCATCTCTTAGCACTTTCTCAATCTCAGAAATCTCTTACTGACCCCAACCCTCACCCATAAATATCTCAGCCCAGTTTAACCCATAATAACACAATTCAGAAAGACAGTTTCTTCCCATCCGCGAGACTCTGTTCACTTCAACTACACCTAATGAATAATCGAGTGGATCACACTGTCCCACTCTCACACTCTGAAGTCATAGGAACAGGAGTAGGCCATTCAGTCCCTCAAGCCTGTTCTATCATTCAATGAGATCTTAGCTGATCTCTGGCCTAACTCCACATATTTCACCTACCATTGGAACAGTTATTAGAATAATGAGTAATAGGATGGATTATGCTATCTCACTCCAACACACGTCATTGTTGGGTGTTTCTCAATTTGAGAATGGTGTCTACCCAGCGTCAGTACCTGCAGTAAATCTTCATGTGACAGCTACAGCCAATTCTTCACCCACAAATTTTTCAGCACATGAGGCAGGATATCTCATGAGATCTGGAGTACAGAACACCCCTTCATCAATAAAGTGTTTGGATTCCACACATGTATCAGCTGGATGGACAAGTTATCCCCATTTCCAATGATGTGTCACACCCTAATGCCAGTCCATTCATTAAGCTGAGCTTCAGCTCCTGGGAAACCAGCTGCAATGGACTGGACACTGTACATGGGGAGGCTTCAAAACATCTCTGTAGCTCAGGCCGGTTTACTCAACTCTCCAATGATCATCCTTCAGGGGAGGACAAAGAAAACACTATAAAAGCAACCTGACTCTAACTTGGCCTAATACTGGAATACCACAAATAAAATAAGTTGTCACTTCCACAAACAGAATGTGACTTAGGAATTTCTTGGACTCTCCTTCTGAAATAGGAGCCTGGTGAAAGGAAGTTGTGAATCTCCAATGTTTATTTCTACTGTGGGTGATGGGACTATATCTTCAGCCTGTTCCTCTCACCTTTCCTGTGCTATTTGTCTAGTTCTCTACCTGAGGACCACTCTTGATCTCCCTGCTCGATACCATCAGTTTCTGTTTCCATACCTATCAATGTGAACATTGTCCTGAACCAGCATCAGGTCTATCCTTGCTGCAACGTGATGCTTGGCCATGAACCATGTTTGATCAGAACCTCGTGCTGAGGTGCCAAGCATAGCAACGATAATATCGGAAGCATTCGCTGCTTACAATGTGGTCTACGTACATTGGGGAAACAAAGCGTAGACTGGGTGACCACTTTGCAGAACACCTATGTTCCATCTGTAAAAAAGACCCTGAGCTTCCAGTTGCCTGCCACTTCAACACTCCACCATGTTCCCTGGTCAACGTCTCTGTCTCAGGCTTGCTGCAATGCTCCAGTGAAGCTCAGCATAAGCTGGAAGAACAGCACCTCATTTTCCGCTTGGGAATTCCACAGCCTTCTTGACTCAATATCGAGTTCAACAATTTTAGGGTTGGGGCACCTTCTCCCATGTCCTTATGCCAACGCCCAAACAAACAGGCCTTGTTATCATGTGGTCTGCTATTACGCACAACCCATTTTAGGCCACTAATTGTCCCATTCATTCTCCTAGGCTGACCATTATCCACTCCTTTGTTTGTCCAACTGTTCTTCTCTCACTTTGGGCTCTATCTCCGCCTATCGTTTACTTCTTACCCTCTCCTCCCACCCAATCTTCTGCATAAAACCAACTTTTTCCTAGCTACCATCAGTTCTGCGCAAGGGTCACTGGATCCAAAATGTTAACTCTGATTTCTCTCCACAGATGATGCCAGACCTGCTGAGCTTTTTCAGCAATTTCTGTTTTTGATGATGAGAATGATGCTGTCGTTGTTGTTGATAACGTTGAGACTTTTAACTCAGACTGTGGACTGGCTGTCATGGCCTGCATCCTGCTGAAATCTTTAGAATTGTCAACCACCTGGGCTTGTGGATGTGCCATTACTCAACACATAAAAAAGACTTAGAAAGATCAGGTATTCAACAGAAATACGGGAAGGCTGGGGAAGCGGAGTTAAGCCCAACACCAAACTGAATGAGGGAGCAGGTTCGATGGGCTGAATGGTCTATTCCTGTTCCTATCTATTCTGTTTTTAAATCCAAATTGGAAAAGAACTCCCTTGTAATTGGCAACTATCTTCTTCTATCATTCCTGTGGATGTGGCCTCAGTGCTGGTCCCTTTCTACAACTGGGTTTCCTCCGGTGATCGTTTCCTCCCACAGTCCAAAGATGTGCAGGCTAGGTGGATTGGCCATGCTAAATTACCCACAGTGTCCAGGGATGTGTAGATTAGGTGGGTTATGGGGGAATGGGTCTGGGTGGGATGTTCTGAGGGGCCGTGTAGACTTGTTGGGCTGAAGGGCCTGTTTCCACACTGTAGGGATTCTACGATCTGCTATGGTTCTATGATCTATGAACTTTGCTCCGAAGTTTGGCCTGTTCTTTAGGCCACCTGCAATAAAGTCTTGAAAGCTGATTTCTACATTTATACTTTATCTACAGTGACAAGATTCTCCTACTCAATATAATCTGCTCTCAACTGACTACTGTTTCTTTTGATGAAATGCAAAATATCATTTATTTTAGTGTATTTCAGAGTACTGAGCTCCAAACAGCAACCCTTGTTAGACATTACATCATTAGACACTACAGAGAGTGGTTCATGTGTGGAATGAATTGCCAGCGGAAGTGATGGATGTTTAAAAAAAAATTTCAGTAAGTAGATGAATAGGAAAGGTTTGGAGGGATGTGGGCCAAATGCAGGCAGGTGGGACTAGTTTAGTTTGGGAACATGGTTGGTGTTGACTGGTTGGACCGAAGGGTCTGTTTCTGTGCTGTATGACTCTATAAGCTCTGAGGCAGCAGTGTCTGTGTTTCTCTGATCCCCTCTGCCCACTCACCAATGGGAGAGCAGGAAAGTGGTCAGCTTTCAAGCTCCAACAAGGGAGGAAGGGGATTGCCAGTGGGAAAACAGTTTGGGAAACATTAATCAGTCATGTTGCTGCACCTATTAACCACACTGCCAACAGATGGGGGGGGGGCAGTGTCACAATATCATCAACTCCCTGACTGTACGTTCCTGGGATAGATCTCTGGTCATTATCTATCAGGCAGGGCACTGAAATATTAACTGCCTTTCTCTCTTCCCCACAGAGCTGCCAGGCCAGCTGAGGATATCCACCTGGTTTCACTCCAGATTTCCTCACCACCATTTCTCATCCAGTTCTGCTGGTTCCTAAGGGGTGACCTTGTAGAGGTTTATAAAATCATGATGGGCACGGACAGACTGAATAGCCCAGGATTAGGGGAGTTCAAAACTAGGGGGCATAGGTTTAAGGTGAGAGGGGAAAAATTTAAAAAGGGCCTGAGGGGCAACTTTTTCACATAAGATGGTGGTAGAACTGCCAGAGGAAGTGGCGGGAGCTGGTACAAATACATTTAAAAGGCATCTGGATGGGTATGTGAATAGGAAGGGTTTAGAGCGATAGGGACATGTCTCTCTCTCTCTGTTTACACACACACCCCTCTTTTCCAGTTCTAAGTGGGAGGAGTATTGAAACTTCCCTGTGTGTCGTGTTGGGGGCAAGGTTCTTGATTTTATTAACATGGGAACGCCTGCTGGGGTCTAGTGACCACACAGTGATTGTTAAAATCCGACCACTCGCCCGCCTACCTGGTCAAAACTATAGAAAAGCACAGAGTCAAGTCTAATACCTAGGACCATCCAGCATTCTCATCTCAATCCGTGCAAAGGAAGTTTATTTCTTGTTTCAGTGTGCAGTAACTAAACTCCTGTCCCAGTTTGGATCTCAGGTTATCGTTTTCTTACGTGTTCCGAGGCAGATGGGACCAGTTTGACCTGTTTTGAGTTCTAGTCAGTGCTGTTCCCTAAGGAAGTGACCCTCCCTCGGCTCCAGATCCGGCGCTTTCGTTTTCGTTTCCCGGAAGAATTCCGCAGCGGGCGATGTGAGCGGAGCGGGCCGAGCCGGGGCGGGGCTGGGAGACTCACGGAGCCCCGGGAGCAGGCTCCTGTTTGCTGCCCACACACCATGACAGACTGTGAGCGCCGTGCCAGGCTCAAGGTAAGCGGCTACTCGAGCCCCGGGATACAGCTCTCTCTCTCTCTGCAAATCGGAAAAGTGCAGGCGCTGGGGATGGGGAATCAAACCGGGAGAGAGGTGTAGTCACTCAGAGAGCAGGTCCTGCAGAGACAGGGAGACTGACTGACTGACACACACACACACACAGAGAGAGAGAGAGAGAGAGAGACAGGGAAGGTGTCAACACAGCTGGGAAAAGTTACTGAACTTCTCCTACATGCCCTGGGCCAACACCCATGACCTCCCACCCCCCAGACCACCCCTACCTTTACCCCCAGGAACCCCTCCTATCAACCCCAAACCCATTCCTTATCCCTGACACCTCCTTCCCATTACCAACAGAGTGTGCCTCCGTTTTCCCCAAACATTCCTCCCCCTGTATTCCTCCCCATGCTCACTGCCCTCTTGACTGAACACCACATGAAACTGGCTGAAATGCAGCAATAAATCAGACCAAGACTGAGGCTAGGAACTTCTGTCTCACTCTGGGCCGGGTTGATGTGTAATTTTTTTGTTGTTTTGGTCATGTTCTGTGTTTTTTTTTTGAAAGGAATGACTGTGGAGGGCGGCATTGTCCCTGGCATCTGCCCGACAGACAGGGGTTGAGGGGTGGTGGCGAGCAAGGGGGCAGTGCCAGTGAGGAACTCGACACTTCCCACCTACCTGAGAGCTGCAGCAAAGTCAAACCGAGAGCAGCCTCTGAGCAGGAACGTCCAGATCCTGATCCAACTCTGACCTACTCATTGCTCAGCCTCAGTCACTCCCCCGCTGACACTGATCAGTACCCAAATAACCTGTGGGCATGGAAGTGAACATGAGCAAGTTGGGACATGGGGTGTGGGGTCTTCTATAGGTGACGTAGCAGATTGTTCAATCTGTCGTCTTGTGTCTTTTTATTGGGGTGGGGGGGGGAGGGTTGGGGATCTTGGTGTGCACAAATTGGCTGCTGCACTTTCCTAACCAGAATAGTAAGGATGTTAAGATGCCTTGAGAATGTAAAAGGTGCTATGTAAATGCAAGTGTATATGTTGTTTCACACTGCCAAGCATGCAGAATGCATTTGTTATCTCAAAGGTATCACCAAGCTCAAACATCCATGGGGGAGGGGCCTCAAGGTTTTGTGATACCTTGACCACTTCGCCATGATAATTATCCACATCTTGGGGTGACTGTTCCTAATGACCTTTCTGACTTCCCGAGCCAACGTTGCTACGGTCACTGATCTACAAACAAGCAACTTGGACCAAACTTACATGGCTGTAGAAGGTGGCTCAGCACCACTTCCTTCAGGTCACTTAGGGATGGGGCAATAAACGCTGACACAGCCAGGACAAGAGAACATTTAAAAAATGAACTGGGCAGGTCACCTTGTTTTTCCAATGATGCTGACAAGAACAGTGATAACATTTGGAGAAGTAGGAGCAGGAGTAGGCTATTTGGCCGATCAAGTCTGCTCGACCATTTGATATAATCATGGGTTTCAAATCCCCATTACCCTTGATTCCCTGAATAATCTGTCTATCTCAGCCTTAACCATATTTAACAATGGAGCAACTACAGCCCTCTGGGGCAGAGAATTTAAAAGATTCACAACCCTTTTAAGTGAAGAAATGTTTCCTCATCTCAGTCCTCAATCTGTCCAGATATGTTACAGTGCACCTCCAGAGCAATTCGGACTTGAACACTGGCCTTCTGGTTCAGAGGTGTGGACATTACAACAGCTATCAACCAACTTCTTGTCCTTTCTACATCCAGAAGTGCTCTTGCGCACAACTGAGTGTTTCTTTTGACCAATGTTTCCTATTAATCAAATTATGTGCAATGTCTGGCAATGGCAATGTAGACACTAAAGGTGAGGAATAGGTAGGGAGAGACGGAGGGAGCTAAATCAAAATGGAGTTGGAAGGCAGATAGAGCACTCTACCCTCTGCAGTGCCCATCTTTCGGTATTGACTAATTTGAGTCAGTCCATATGGGAACAGCAAGCAACTGAAACCATTGGATACTGCAAAGTCTACGGACCCTGACAACATTCCGGCAATAGTACGGAAGACTTGTGCTCTAGAACTTGTTGCTCCCTTAGCCAAGCTGTTCCAGTACAGTTACAACACTGGCATCTACCCGGCAATGTGGAAAATTGCCCAGGTGTGTCCTGTCCACAAAAACCTACCCAACCTGGGGTCAGTCCACTCTCAATCACTAGTACAATGATGAAAGGAATCATTAACAGGGCTATCAAACAGCACTTGTAAAGGAATAACCCGCTCAGCGATGCCCATTTGGGTTCCACCAGGGCCACTCAGCTCCTGACCTCATTCGCTTTGGCTTTAGACATGTCAAAAAAGCTAAATACCAGAGGTGAAGTGAGAGTGACAGTCCTTGACATCAAGGCTGCATTAGATGGAATGTGGCATCAAGTAATCCTAGAGCCAGTGGGAATCAGGGAACAAATTCTCCGCTGGCTGGAGCCATACCTATCACATAGGAAGATGGTTGTGGTTGTTGGAGGTCAGCCCCAAGTCCTCAGCCCAACCATCTTCAACTGCTTCATCAATTACCTTCTCTCCATCATAATTCTATTAGTGATGGAAAAGGATAGACCGGATCGAAAAATTAAAGTTCTAAATTGGAGGAAGCCGAATTTTGATGGCATTAGGCAAGATCTTCCAAAAGTTGATGGGGAGGGGAGGTGCAGACGTTTGCAGGTAAAGGGACAGCTGGAAAATGGGATGCATTCAAAAATTAGGTAACGAGAACCCAGAGACAGTATGTTCCTGTTAAGGTGAGGGGAAATGCTGGTAGGTGTAGGGAATGCTGGATGACTAGAGAAATTGTGGTTTTGCTCAAGAAAAAGATGGAAGCATATGTCCGGTATAGACAGCAGGGATCAAGTGAATCCCTAGAAGAGTATAAAGGCATTAGGAATATAATTAAGAGGGAAATCAGGAGGGCAAAAAGGAGACATGAAATAACTTTGACAAATAGGGTTAAGGAGAATCCAAAGAGATTCTACAAATACGTTAAGGACAAAAGGATAACTAGGGAGAGAATAGAGTCCCTTAAAGATCAGCAGGGCCACCTAAATGTGGAACCACAGGAGATAGGGGAGATACTAAATGAATATTTTACATTATTGGTTACTGTGGAGAAGGAGATGGAAGACGGAGAACATGGGGAAATAAATAGCGACATCTTGATAAATGTTCATATTACAGAGGAGGAGGTGCTGAATGTCTTAAAACTCAAAGGTGGATAAATCCCCAGGACCTGATCAGTTGTACCCTAGAACTTTGTGGGAAGCTAGGGAAGTGGTAGCTGGGCCCCTTGCTGAGATATTTGTGTCATCGATAGCTACAGGTGAAGTGCTGGAAGATTGGAGGTTGGCTAACGTGGTGCCACTGTTTAAGAAAGGTGGTAAAGAAAAGCCAGGGAACTATAGACCGGTGAGCCTGGCATCAGTGGTGGGCATGTTGTTGGAGGGAACCCTGAGGGACAGGATTAACATGTATTTGGAAAGAGAAGGACTGTTTAGGGATAGTTAACATGGCTTTGTGTGTGGGAAATCATGTCTCACTAACTTGATTGCGTTTTTTGAAGAAGTAACAAAGAGGATTGATGAGGACAGAGCGGTGGATGTGATCTATATGGACTTCAGTAATTCTTTCGACAAGGTTCCTCATGGTAGACTGGTTAGCAAGGTTAGATCACATGGAATACAGGGAGAACTAGCTATTTGGATACAGAACTGCTTTTCAGACTGGAAGCCTGTGACCAGCAATGTGCCACAAGGATTGGTGCTGGGTCTGCTGCTTTTTGTCATTTATATAAATGATCTGGATGTGAACATAGGAGTTATGGTTAGTAAGTTTTCGGGTGACACCAAAATTGGAGGTGTAGTGGACAACGAAGAAGGTTACTTCAAAGTACGACCAGACCATGATCAGATGGGCCAATGGTCCGAGGAGTGGCAGACGGAGTTTAATTTAGGTAAATGTGAGGAGCTGGATTTTGGAAAGGCAAATCAGGGCAGCACTGATACATTTAATGGTAAGATCTTGGTGAGTGTTGCTGAACAAAGAGACCTTGGAGTGCAGGTTCATAGTTCCTTGAAAATGGAGTCACAGGTAGATAGGATAGTGAAGAAGGCATTTGGTATGCTTGCCTTTATTCGTCAGTGCATTGACTACAGGAGTTGGAAGGTCATGTTGCAGCTGTACAGGACAGTGGTGAGGCAACTTTTGGAGTATTGTGTGCACTTCTGGTCATCCTCCTATAGGAAGGATGCTGTGAAACTTGAAAGGATTCAGAAAAGATTTACAAGGATGTTGCCAGGGTTGGAGGGTTTGAGCTACAGGGAAAGGCTGAATAGGCTGGGGCTATTTTCCCTGGAGCTTCTGAGGCTGAGGAGTTACCTAATAGAGGTTTATAAAATCATGAGGGGCATGGGTAGGATAAATAGGCAAGATATTTTCCCCAGGGTGGGAGAATCCAAAACTAGAGGGCATAGGTTTAAGGTGAGACGGGAAAGATTTAAAAGGGACCTAAGGGGCAACGTTTTCATGCAGAGGGTGGTGCGTGTATGGAATGAGCTGCCAGTGGAAGTGGTGGAGGCTGGTACAACTACAGCATTTAAAAGGCATCTGATGGGTATATGAATAGGAAGAGTTTAGAGGGAATGGGGTGAAATGCTGGCAAATAGGACTAGATTAATTTAGGATATCTGGTTGGCATGGATGAGTTGGGCAGAAGGGCCTGTTTCCATGCTGTACACCTCGATGACTCTCTTAGGCCAGAAGTGGGAATGTGTGCCGATGATCGCACAATGTTCAGCACCATTCATGATTCTTCTGATACTAAAGCAGCCCATGTTCAAATACAACAAGAGTTTGACAATATCCAGGCTTGGGCTGACAAGTGACAAGTAACAAAAACAGAAGTTGATGGAAAAGCTCAGCAGGTCTGGCAGCATCTGTGACGAAAAAAAATCAGAGTTAACGTTTCAGGTCCGGTGACCCTTCCTCAGAACTGGCAAGTATGTTCATGCCAGTGTAGATGCCAGACAATGACCGTCTCTACTTCACATTCAATGGTGTTACCATCACTGAAAGCCCCATTATCAACAGCCTGGGCTTTACCATTAACCAGGAATTGAACTGGACCAGCCATATAAATACAATGAGAAGAGAAGACCAGAGGCTAGGAATTCATGGAACCATCGAAAGTTTGAAAATAGGAGCAGAAGTAGGCTGTTCAGCCCATCAACTGGCTCTACTATTCAACCTGACATTGGCTAATCTATCTCAATGCCATACTATCACTCTCCCCATACTCCTTAACATCATTAGCCTCAAGAAATTTATATTTCTTCATCAAATATACCTAGTGACGTGGCCTCTGCCACCTTGAGTGAGAGAGAATTTGCGAGGTCCACTACCCTCTGGGTGAAGAACTATCACCTCACCTCAGTCCAGAAAGATAGTGTTGGAGAAATGAACAGGAGTGGAAGCAAATAAATGCCCAAGGCCTGATAATCTGCATACCAGAGTACTAAAAGAGATAGCAATGGGAATTGTGGGTGTATTTGTTATCCTGAGCTGGTGACCCCTCGCCCTAAACCCCCTGCCCGGGTAACATCATTCCCACGCCCCATCAAAACTTTATACGTTTCAAATGAGATCCCTCTCATTCTTCTGTACTGGAGTGAATACAGGCCCAGTCCACACACACTGCCCTCATACAACAAACCTGCCATCCCAGGAATGGGTTTACTGAACCTTTGCTGTACTCCTGTCTATGGTAAGTATTCTTTTTAGGTAAGGATTTTGAAATTGCACACAATCCTCCAAGTGTGGTCTTGCCAAGGCCCTGTACAGTTGTAGTATGGCTTCCTTGCTTCTGAATTCAAACCCTCGCTGTGAAAGGCAACATACTATTTGCCTTTTCAACTGCTCACTGCATCCACATACTTACTTTCAATGTCTGGTGTACAAGGATACCCAGATCCCTTTGCACATCAACATTTCCCGATCTACAACCATTTAAATGATACTGTACTGTCTGTTTTTCCCACTGAAGTGGACGACTTCACTTGTATCCACAATATTCTGCATCTGCCATGTATTTGTCCAGTCAACATTTCTCAATCACCCTGAAGTCTGTTATTGCCCTCTCACTGCTCACAATTTGTGTCATCAGCAAATTTGGAAATGTGATATTTGATTTCCACATTCATATTGTTAACAGCTGGGGTCCAAGTTCTGATTCCTGCAGTACCCCATTTGTCGCCGTCTTCCACTCTGAAAGTGACCCATTTATGCCTACTTTACTTCCTGCCTGCTAACCCATACTCAGTTCATGTTGGTATATTACCACGAATCTTATGTGCTTTAATTTACACACTAACTCTTGCGTGGGAGTTTATCGAAGCTTTCTGAACATCAAAATACACCACAATCACTGATTCTCCCTTACCTATTCTTCTAGTTACACCCTCAAAAATCTCCAGTAGGTTTGTGAAACATAATTTCCTTTTCATGTGTAATCCCATTGGTATGTTTTAAGTGTCCTGTTATCACTTCCTTTATAATAGACTCCAGTATTTTCTCTACTACTGATGTAAAACTAACCAGTCTGTAATTCCCTGTTTTCTCCCTGCCTTTTTTATACTTTTTTCACCCTCCAATCTGCAGAGACTGTTGCAGAATCTACTATATTTCAGAAGATGATAACGAATACACCCACAATTCCCATTGCTATCTCTTTTAGTACTCTGGTATGCAGATTATCAGGCCTTGGGCATTTATTTGCTTCCACTCCTATTCATTTCTCCAACACTATCTTTCACTAATAATTCTGCACTGATTTAACTCACCTCCTGACTCTCCAAAGCCTATCTGCTATCTACAAGTCACAAGTCAGGAGTGTACTGGAATTCTGCCCACCTGCCTGGATGGGTGCAGCTCCAACAACAGTCAAGAAACTTGACACCATCCAGAACAAATCATCCCACTTGTTTGGCACCACATCCACAAACAGCACCTTGCAAACCCATGACCACTTCCATCTGGAATAACAAGGGCAGCAGATACATGGGACACCGCCACCTGCAAGTTCCCCTCTAAGCCACTCACCATCCTGACTTGGAAATATATTCCCGTTCCTTCACTGTCACCGGGTCAAAATCCTGGAACTCGCTCCCTAAGGGCATTGGGGTCAACCTACAGCACATGGACTGCAGCAGTTTAAGAAGGCAGCTCACCCCCACCTTCTCAAGGGGGCAACTAGGGACAAGCAATAAATGCTGGGCCAGCAACACTTGTGTCCCATGAATGAATGAATGCAAAGAAATTCGCCAAGATCTTTAACTCTGTTATTGGGATGTAGTCACTGTGGTGTTTATTGACCCTCAGGGATGGTTTACTCCTCCATTCACAGAATCCCTCATGTCACTGAGGGACAGATTTCTTTCCTTAGGGGACATTAATGAACTAGAAGAACTTTTTAAACAGAATTCAAATTCTCTTACAGCCACGGTGGGATTTGAGTTCTTGACTCTGAATTATTAGTCCATTATCAGAAACAGCGTTCTTGGCTCCTGTATTGCAGCTTGTGAAGTGTTTGGGGAGGTACATTGCTGATTGGCTGGTTTTTATACAATGAGACTATGGGCTGGATGACCCATGGGCTTTGGGACCTTGTCACTGGGGCCTTGGCCTCATCACTGGCTATGCTGAGATGTCTTGCTGTGAGCCAGACCAAAGGAGCCATTTTCCTGGAGGCCACTTCCTAATTGGCTGGGTGCACTCTCACCTTTCAGTCAAAGGCAGCGATGGGCTTTCGAGCCGAACCAGCACTGGGGCTTGCTGAAGCTCCAAGGAGATGGTGAGGCTCTCTCAATTCGGAATGACAGCTTCCAGAACATGGAGCTGCAGGTTTAAGGGAAAGGATTGAGGTGGCTTGGTGGAGAAAGGCTACGCCCTGGATTGCTGTCAGCCATCATTGTGGCCTTCTATGTCTGTAACCCACTCTTTGTGGCTTGGGGCTCCCCATCACCTGCTATTATTATTAGAATACTAATAGATATCCTAACCAACTCCCACCCACCCCATAGAACAGTCTGATTAGAGGAAGCCCTGATCATTTGACTGACTGGTGCTAGATAGAGTATTGTCAGGTGGCACTTGTGACTTCTTTCCTCGTGGGTTGTTGACCTGGACTAACAGTTAACCATACGGCATTCTGCAGGCACTCCAGAAACAACCATTATGTTAAGCACTGGCAAGTTGCACTTGGCTGTACTGAGCTGTAGAAACTTCCCTCACGTGTGGATTTGTGTTTCCCCAGGAAGAGCACGTATGTGAAGTGGCAACCTGTAGCCCCATGCCAAGGTCAGTCTCTCCGCCAGTGGAGCCCAGAGCAGTCAGCAGTGCCCACAGTCACTCTCAGAATGACCTCAGCCGCCTGCCCAGGACATTGAGTGAGTATCGAATGCCAGATCTTTGCAGATCCCATCTGTTGCCAGATGTGTGTGGGTCATGTCGGACTGCTGAGTATGCTACTATGGAACCCAAGTTGTAAACGTTTACCTCAGTTTCCAGTTGTACTTGGGCCCCAGTCTGAAAAATAACCAAAAGGCAATTTCTACAGGACGCTGTCACATCTGACCACCATCACCAAAAAAATCTTCCTGACATCTATCGTATATGTTGTATTTATGCAAATATGTACCCCATGTGTTGTAACATGCGTGCAGATGTGTATTCCTCACATGTTCTTTGTGTGTTGTAATGTGTGTACACACGTGTTCTTTGCATGTTGTAATGTGTGTACAGATGTATACTCTTCAAGTGTGCAGATGTGCACTCTTCGCATGTTGTAATATGTGTGCAGACGTGCGCTCCTCACATGTTATGATTTGCGCACAGGCAGTGTGTGATGAATGTGAATGCAGGCCAGTGTGTTGTAATGTGTACATTGGAATGTGGCTGGTGGTAGTGTTGACAGAAGCCTCAGCTATTCAGAATTCTCTATACACTCGCAGATATCCAGGCAGTGCTGTAAAATAAATGGCAGGCTGGTTGAGAGCATGTCATGAATTTCTATTGGGTGACTTTGACGGGAGAGGCTCCTTGCTCATGAGTATAAGGTTGTTTTATTACTCCAGTGTTTGCTGGGACTGAGCTGCTGATTATGATCTACTTGGCACAGGAACAGTTATCGGGAATGTACTGCAATTGTTGTGGTTGTACTTCCAGCTTCTACTAATTGATAATGCGGTTTCCATGCTGTTTCCCACTCGTATCGGTATCTGAAGATGTTTCCTGTCTCACAGCCTTTAGGCACCTTGCAATGTTTCGAATATTGCTTAGTCTCGAATGTGGATGGACTCAGTTTGATCTTGTAGGAGCTGGAATATTTGTGTACCCGAAGCTCTGCAATGCTTTCTACATTTCTCTCTTATCTCTAAGTTACCTTCCAAGAAGTAAACTAGTTAGACCTGTTGTCCCTGACTCTTTACTTTTCCTATGGCAGGATAGTTGGGCACTACATTTGGCATGAACATCCTTCAGTAGGATTGAGGCCAGGTTACCTTCTATGTGCCAACTTGTCACCCCTTTTGGACTGGGGCAGTGGAGAGACAAAGTTTATTCTTCAGATCAACGGCTGGTCACAGAGCTGAGGTGTTAACTCTGTTTCTCTTCCCACAGATGTTCCCTGACTCGCCAAGTATTTGCAGCATTTTCTGTTGCATTTTCAAATTTCCAGCATTCACGGTATTTTGGTTTTGCTCTTTTTATACAACCCTCAGATATCACTTTGTTGTATTCTGTGATCTCTTCCCCACTGCCTTCACTTTCCCCCAATGTATTAAACCAAACCCTGGTCTACTGCCTTCCATCAGCTCCTGCTGTACTTTACTTTGATTTCTTCCATCCTTTCTCATCTGTATTCTTTGCCAGTTCAGGATATACCTTCCTTAGTATTTGTTTCCATCAGAACTCCTGCAATGAGGTACCTATTCTGTTTGTTCATGGGATGGATGTGTCACTGGTCAAGTCAACAGTTATTGGGCGTCACGAATTGCTTTTGAGGAAGTGAGGTGAGCTGTCTTTTGAACCGCTGCAGCCCATGTATTGTAGATGGGACTCAGGGTAGCGTCCTAGGCCCAACCATCTTCAGCTGCTTCATCTATGACCTTCCCTCCATCATAAGGTCAGAAGTGGGGATGTTTGCCGATGATTGCACAATGTTCAGCACCATTCGTGACTCCTCAGATACTGAAGCAGTCCGTGTCCAAATGCAACAAGATCTGGACAATATGCAGGCTTAGGCTGACAAGTGGCAAGTGACATTTGTGCCACACAAATGCCAGGCTATGACCATCACCAATAAGAGACAATCTGTCCCTTGACATTCAATGGTGTTACCATCATTGAATCTCCCACTATCAACATCCTGGGAGTTACCATTGACCAGAAACTCAACAGGACTCATCACATTAACAGAATGACTACAAGAGCAGGCCAGAAGCTGGGAATACTGTGGCGAGTAACTCACCTCCTGAGTCCTCAAAACCTGTCCACCATCGATAAGGCGCAAGTCAGGAGTGTGATGAAATACTCCCCCCTTGCCTGGATGAGTGCTGCCCCAACAACACTCAAGAAGCTTGACATCATCCAGGACAAAGCAGCCCGCTTGATTGGCACTACATCTACAAGCATCCACTCCCTCCACCACCGAGGCTCAGTAGCAGCAGTGTGTACTATCTACAAGATGCACTGCAGAAATTCACCAAACATCCTCAGACAGCACCTTCCAAACCCACAACCACTTGCATCTAGAAGGACAAGGGCATCAGACATATGGGCAGTACCACCACCTTCAAGTTCCCCTCCAAGTCACTCACCATCCTGACTTGGAAATATATTGCCATTCCTTCACTGTCACTGGGTCAAAATCTTGGAATTCCCTCCCTAATAGCATTGTGGGTCAACCCACAGCAAGAGGACTGCAGCGGTTCAAGAAGGCAGCTCACACCACCTTCTTGAGGGCGACTAGGGATGGGCAAGAAATGCTGCCCAGTCAGCAATGCCCACATCCCACAAAAAATGAATAGAAAAAAAAAAGATGACGGGGCATATAATGTTGAGGAGGCGGGTAGGTTGCAGAAGGACTTGGACCGGCTAGGAGAGTGGGAAAAGAAATGGTAGATGGAATATAATTGAATAGCAAAGGACAGTGGTTAGATTCTTTCAAATTGGAGATGGTCATTGCCTGGCACTGAAGTGGGTAAGAGACGCTCACAATGCACACATCAGCCTAAGGCTGAGTGTAGTAGCCTTGCTGCAAATTCATGGAACTGCTTCAGTACTTGAAGAGTCATAAGTGGCAATGAATATTGTGCAATCATCAGTGAACATCCCCAGTCCTGATCTTATTGTTGAGGGAGGGAAAATGAAGCACTTGAAGATGGTTGGGCCGAGGACACCATCCTGAGGGACTCCTGTTGTGTTGGCCTCGGACTGAGATAATTAGCCTTCAACCTCCACAGACATCATCCTTTGTGCTAAGTATGTTTGCAGAGATTCTCATTGCCTTAAGTTTTGTAAGATTTCCTCAGTGTCACATTCAGCCAAATGCTGCCTTAATGTCAAAGAAAGTCACTCTTGCCTCATCTCCCATTCCTGCCAATTTCCTTTTTGTTTGCCTCTTAATTCATTTATTTGTAGAATAATTTACTGTTCCTTTGTTAATATTCCACCTTGCATTCCTTGTTCTTCTCTGAGCCCTTTGCCTTATTTCCTTGTATTCTCTCTCTGACTAATAGCAATCATGTACATATCATACCTTTGACAGGTTTCTCATGTCTGTTCGTCCATGTAACCTTCAAATTTGAAACCATCCCCTTTTTAATGGCATCTATTCGTTCTACGTGTTTTCAGTTCACCGATGACGATAGCCTAATCTTGTACATGTAATGCTGTCCTTTTTCAGAGCAGTTTGGAACATGGAAATAATATACTTCATTGCTGCAAAATTTCGCAAATTTGGTATTAACTTGTCACAAATTATGCAATGTCTTTATATTCCTGTAAAAAGGGTGTACAGTGTTGTTTTGTTCAAGCAGGAAGTTATGGACTTTTTTTTTTATCAGTTTAATAGAATCAGACTTCACCTGGCTTGGACTAAGGACTTAGTACATACAAAGTTACCCTTTAAACACTAGGCCATTGGCACCGGCACTCAGAGATACTGGCTTACAGGGTCACAAAGGGACACTTGTATACATCTGGGTACTGGCCGTTGCATGGACGTGGTGCTGGTCCATATATGGGTACTGGGCTCAGATACAGACACAAGCGCTGTCTCAGAAGTGGACACTGACACACAAACAACATTGCTGTATGGAGACAGTGTGTCACTGGCGAGAGCATTAGTTCATGCAGGAACACTGGCACTGGCCTCCAGGAAGCCCAGGTCTCTGTTCGTGTGAGAACAGTAGAGCAGCTCACATTAAATCATTTTGGATATATAGCAGAGATTCAGTATTTAAAAACTGTCTTGACCACACATTATGCCCCGCTCACACTTTCCCCCATTGACTCACAGTGACTACGTTTTAAAATGGCTTCACTTACTGGGTGATTCATAGAGTTGTACAGCATAGAAATGGACCCTTCTGCTCAACTCATCCATGTCTACCAGACATCCCAGTCTGACCTAGTCCCATTTGCTAGTATTGGCCCATATCCTTCTAAACCCTTGCTATTCATGTACCCATCCAGATGCCTTTGAAATGTTGTAATTGTACAGTCTCCACCACTTCCTCTGGCAACTCGTTCCATACATGCACCACACTTTGCGTGAAAAAGTTGCCCCTCAGGTCCCTTTTAAATCTTTCCCCTCTCATCTTAAACTTATGCCCTCTAGTTTTGGACTCCCCTGCCCTAGAAAAATGACATTGGCTATTTACCCTATCCATGCCTCTCATGATTTTAGAAATCTCTATGAGGTCACCCTTCAGCCTCCGATGCTCCAGGGAAAATAGCTGCAGCCTATTTAGCGTCTTGTTATGACCTCGAACGCTCCAGTCCCAGCAACATTTTTATAAATCTTTTCTGAACTTTTTCAAGTTTAACAACACCCATCCTGTAGAAGGATGACCAGAATTGTACACAGTATTCTAAAAGTGGTCTCACCAATGTCCAGTACAGCTGCAATATGACATCCCAACTCCTATACTCAGTGTACTGACCAATGAAGGCAAGTGTGCCAAATGCCTTCTTTACCACTCTGTCTACCTGCGACTCCACTTTCAAGGAACTCTGCACCTGAACTCCTGGGTCTCTTTGTTCAGCAACCCTCCTCAGGGCTCTATCATTAACTGTGTAAGTCCTGCCCTGGTTTGCCTTACCAAAATGCAACACCCCTCATTTATCTGAATTAAACTCCATCTGCCACTCTTCAGCCCATTGGCCCATTTTATCAAGATCCTGTTGTACTCTGAGATAACCTTCTTCATTGTCCATTATACCACTAATTTTGGTGTCATCTGCAAACTTACTAATTCGATTGAGACATCTGGTTGTACTCAGTGCTGCAGAGACCACACTGGTTACAGTGCATTCTAACAGCACGTTTACATTTAATCATTATTTGCAAATTAATAAGTTTTTTTCCAGAATAATACTGTCTCCATTTTTGTTTTGGGCTTGACCGCGGTGCATGTGCCAAGTAGCAGTATGACTGTGCCTGCTCAATCTTCATCGAAATAAACCACTGTTTTACTCACTGCTCCTCAACTCCCTCCCTCCCTCCCTCTTGCTGGTTCCCTCCCCCACTCATCACTCCCCCACCCTCACTCTCTGACTCACTGTTCCTCTCATCACTTCCTGCTCCTGACTGCTCCCTTGCTGTTTCCTAACCATGACCTGGAATCAGCTGAAGAGAGGAGGTGAGAGGCAAGATGTGGGAAGGAGGCAGAGGGTTGGGACAGAGAAATAGTAACTGGGAGGGGGTGAGCTGGTTGAGATGAGGAGCGGTGAGTGGGGAGCAGGTAAGCAGGAAAAACAGTACACTAATAAGTTGAAAGGGAATCTTTGGCTTGTTGGATTCGAGGCCATCAGTAGGTTTTTGATGTTAAAATAACAGGTCAAGACTGTAACCCAGTCTTATTACATGTGTTGTTATGGGAAAGATATTTTGTAGAATATATTTTTATTAGGGACATATTAGGAGTGCTAAACAAGGCTCTCATTCAATTGCTATCTTGTGTGAAGACCACTTTTTTGCCCTGTATTTTTGATTGTGGGCTGACTTAGGAAATGGATTATTTTACAAACCAAGGATCAGTGAGTGATTCCTGCAGTTTTTGTAAAAAAAAGTTACGTGATGCTCATTGTAAGTGCTGTTTGCAGAGCTGCTGGATGAGGTTGTTGGGGGAAGGTTTACAGAGGAGCTGGAGCTGAGTGGTGTGTTCAAAGGGTGATTCACTGGCAACAAGTAGCTGATTGGTTTGTAGACTGGTGGGCATTATTGACAGAGCCCTTCTGCCTGTCGCCAGCAATGTGATTGGTTCTCGGGTAGCTGACCAACTTGGGGATGTGAACAAGAAAAGGAGATGCCTTCTGATCCCCTCCAGCTTAGGTTCTCGCGTGCTCTCTCTCGCGCTCTCTCTTTCTTTCTCTCTCTCTCTGTGCTCTACACTACGAGCCTTAAGCCTAAAGAAAACCAGTTTGTTTCTCGTTCAGTAATTGCAAATATCCTGGAGGAAGATTGTGAAGCAGCATTCTGATCAGGTCAAGAATCATCTCAGTAAATCCTGTGAACAGGGACCTCTGAACGGCGTTCCCAGTCTTTCCCTCCATCCATAGCACCTGTATTTTTTCCTGCCTGTGGGTGTAAGGGGGAATTTCCTAAGGCAGTTAGAATTTTATCTTGGAGAATTGTACGCTGACAGTTCACGATTGTTTACCTGTAGCTAGGTTTGATTTATGTGCAATAAATAATGGTTTTTGTGAAGTACAGAAACATGGACAATGCATTCTATCAGCATGGGTCAGAAAGAAAAGTAAACTGGGCAATTCTGCATACTTTTAAATCTTTGAATTTTGTAATGGCTCTGGGAATAGCAAGGCTTGATTTCCAGCACACTACCCTAGTGATGTTCTGAGGAAGGGTCACCGGACCCGAAACGTTAACTCTGTTTTCTCCTTCACAGATGCTGCCAGACCTGTTGAGCTTTTCCAGTAACTTTGTTTTTGACCCTGGTGATGTGTATTGCATGCCACTAATGTTTGGTATTTATTGCCTCCTGACTGCTGAACAATAAAACTTTAGATGTTAGAATAGGCCCCTTTGTTTCTCTCTCTTTCCTGTCATTTAATTAGGTGTTCACTTTTGGAATTATAACCTGCCTCTATGCTTGATCCCTGGCTGCCTGTACTAGCAGCTGACACATTCCTCAAAGGGTGAGCCTTGGCTTGAGCCTCTCTCCCAGGATCATTGTGTGGTAGCTTCTTAATGCTTTCTGAGTCAGCTGAGCTGACACCCTCAATCATTTCCTCTGTCTTCCTCTTCCTTTCCCTCCTCCTATGGAGATGATTCTTTAATTGACCATTCACAGATTTGAGTGTAAACACTGTTTCCTGTTACCCCACAACACACCCAATTTCACTTCTACATTTCTCAGCAGGTCATGCACAGAGCAACATGAGAAATATGTGTTTTATTTGAAACATTTGTTTGGCCCTTTTCCATAAGGAGTGCTGGAAACACCCAGTATACTGGGGCTTTCCAGCTGAGTGCAGGTAAATGAGCAGGTCAGCTTCCTGCCAAGAGGTGATATTTATTTGGCAATGATATTAAAGTGTTGCTTTGCTGAGATGTAAAAGGAACAGCAGAGGAATTAGCTAAGGCCCTGTACCTTTTTGCAAAACCAGGGAATGCAAGGTATAGGCATAGGGACAATAGGATGTAAGGGAATGGTACATATCCTGTTCATTGTATATGTAAATCAAAGCAAACCTGGCCACGAGGGAGTAAGCATAACTGGCCCAATAAGTGGAACTCCGACCAAGAGCAGAGCTATAGACTATAGCAGACCCTTAGCAAGTACCTGCTCCCAAAGCGAAGTCAACATCACGGGGAGAACGAGCTTAAATTCAGTTCCATTTCCCACTCCACCTTGGCATGAATATCTACCCTCCCAGGTCGAATTCTCACTGTAGGTGCCATACAAGTCAGATTTGTGGCATGGCATTCCGCAAAGCCTCAATAAATGAATAGCTAAACCATCTAGCTCAGTACTACGATCAAAGGCTAGTTTGTGATCTCAATCAGCCAATACCCAATGTCCCTGATTTCGGGAAATGGAAACTGCTCCCCTGCTTACTGTCCAGTCACCCATATTGGACAGTTGGCATCTGCTGAGGGTAAGATTGGTCACAGTCCGTTAGAAGTCCTCTTTGGAGAGTACAAATTGGCCATGATTTTTGGGTGGGGATTTCAAGAGAATAAATATTTACAGCAATCCTTTTGATTTGTTAGTGGGAGGTTGGCATTTGCTGATCAATGTTTATTGCTCGTTCCTAATTTTCCTTGCAGTCCATATGCTGTAGGTAGAGCCACCGTGTTGTTAGGGAGGGTGTGTCTGGATTTTCACCCTGAATGTTCCCAAGTCAGGATGGAGAGTGGCTTGAATGGGAACTTGCAGGTGGGTGGTGTTCCCGTGTACTGGCTGCCCTTGTTCTCCTGGCGTTGGAGGTTATGGATGATGGTATCTAAGGATCTTTGGTGAGTTGCTACAGGGCTTCTTGTCTGTGGCACATTCTACATCCACCAAGTGCCAATGGTGGGAGAGAGCGTGTGTTTAGGGTGCTGCGTGAGGTGCCAATCAAACAGGATGCCTTGTCCTGGATGATGTTGAGTTGTTTCACGATTATCCGAGCTGCACCCATCTGACCAAGTGATGAGCATTCCATCACATTCCTGACTTGTGCCTTGTAGATGACAGAAAGACTCTGGGGAGTCAGGAGGTGAGTTGGGGGTCAGTTGGTTGAACAGTTGGTTTGCAAAGCACTAACAGCAGCGTGGGTTCAATTCCTGCACTGGCTGAGGTCACCATAAGGTCACGTATCTCCTTAACCTCTCTCTCCTCATCTCCCCGTGGGTTAAACCACCACCAGTCATCTCTTTCTTAGAAAGAGAGCAGCCCTATGCTCCTCTGGGACTAGGGCAGCTTTACCTCTACCTACTCCCTGCTGAATATTACGGAATTGACTGGGCAGGTTTGCCATTGGTGCTGGGCAGTCCATCCAGTTTTTCCTCTTTTAGCAATGTCTTTGGAGCAGTTTGACATGGCTGGCTGGCTGGCTGAGCACTTCGCTGGGACCATTTCAAAGAGAATTTGAGAATCACGTGTCAGTTAGATGGGGATTTCCTTCTCGGAACGGCTTTGAAACAGTTTGATAGTTTCATTGGTCACCAGATCTGAGATTGACTTTTTACTCCAACTTTCTTCAGTTCATTGAATTTCAATCCACAGATTGTAGAATAATAGGATTTCAATTAATTTCCCCAGAGCACTAGTCCATAACATCTGAATTACAATAATTGACATGCAATCATTCCAATCAACATTTGGATTCTTCTGGAAGAGTGAATGTGGTCTATTGCCAGTTTCAATTGATGATCTAAAGTCGCTGCATCCTGGTCTTTCTCCTACACTGTAAGAAACTACACTCAGATATATTTGTGGGAGTGTGGCTACCTTTCAGTAAACAGTGGTTTTGTGTTGTTGATTTGTGACAGAAATGCAGCCATCACTGTGGAGCAAGGCAGATGTCACACAGTGGCTAAAATGGGCAGAGAGAGAATATTCCCTGCGGTTTATTGAGGAGAGCAAGTTCGAAATGAATGGAAAAGCTCTTTGCCTGCTCACCAAGGATGACTTCAGGCACCGCTCTCCAAGTTCAGGTAAGAGCTGCTCAGGGTTTTCATTCAGAATTTGCTGCGATACAGGAAGGATGACATTAAACTGGAAAAGGGTGCAAAAAGGATTCACAGGGATGTCATCAAGATTGGAGGGTTTGAGTTATTAGGAGAGGCTGGATAGTTTGGGACTTTTTTCACTGGGCTGAGGGGTGACCTAATAAAGGTTTATAAAATCATGAGGGGCATAGATAAGGTGAATAGTCAAGGTCTTTTCCCCAGAGTAGGAGAATCCAAAACTAGACGGCATAGATCTAAGATTTAAAAGGGACTTGAAGGGCAACTTTTTCCACACGGAGGATGGTGTGTGTGTGGAATGAGCTGCCAGAGGAAGTGTTAGAGTGGATACAACATTTAAAAGACATGTGGACAAGTACATAAATAGGAAAGGTTTAGAGGGATATCAGCCAAATGCAGGCAAATAGGGCTAGTTCAGTTTAGGAAACCTGGTCTGCATGGATGAGTTGGGCTGAAGGGTAGGTTTCTATGACTATAAGCCTTATAGTGTTTTATAAACAGAAAGTAACACAGTGTCCTAGTCAGGAATACACTGGGGACAGTAGTTCAGTGTACCAATCTGAAATATGTTATATGTATGAGGATAAAAGTTCTATTAGTCTGAAAAATATGATGTATATGGGGATGACAGTTCTGTGTACCAGTCTGGAATATGTAAAACTTATAAGAATAACACTTGTATACTGATCTTGGATTTAATGATAGTTGCATCTGTCAAAACATCTCAAAGTATCTAACAGGGGCTTAATGGCGACCAAAGGATACTAGAGTGAATGTACACAGTCTTCTCGGTGCAGTATGGACTCTGGTTCATTTCTCATGAAGTTGCTAAGGGTGGAGTGTGTAAATTGAAAAAAGGACAATGTTCCTTGTTTAACTTTCAAAGTGACCTCCGTGTCCAGGAAGTCAATCCTTTCAGAGAAACTATGTGTGTGTTGCCAAATACCTAGATGTCAGCACCTGCTCATGTCCTGGAGATGTCCCACACTCCTTAACTGGAGCAGCAGATACAAGCCCCCAGCCCTTCCCACAAAGAGGGAGCACTGGTTTGGAGATTTTGTGGCCCACAAGCAAGGCTGGCCCCCATCCCAAAGAGATGGCAACTGTTTCTTCAGGCCTTTATCCAGCTCATTCTGGGGGGAAAAAGCTTCAGGTACAATCTGTCTGACGACCTAAGGCAGCTGCTGCTTTACCTAGTCTGTGATTCTGGATACATTTGTCCAGGGATTGCAAACTCTCTCCCCTCCCATTTCTTTCTTTCCATTGAATTCCTGACCACCTCCTGCTCTGCCTGACTGTCTCTGTCTCTGATCAAACTGAGCTGAACCTCCTCCAAAGTTTTACATTTTGAGTTGAATTGTTTTTAATGACCATCACAGCAAGAAGTGAACTGTTATCTGATTGCAGTGGGCTGACACTTAGCAGTTTGAATCCTTGCTGCTGTGCGACGTTAAGGTCAGTGGGCAGTGCCACCTTTCCCCTGACTGATGTCTGTCTGTGACGTGGCACATGCGATAATGCGATTGTGCACGTACGCGGCCACTGCGTACTTAGTGGCAGCGTTGACAATAGAGAGAAGTCAGCAAAGCTGTCCGAGAGATAAAGGTGGGATCTGGTGAGCATGGGCCCACTCTGATGGGAAATGAAGGCGGGCAAAAGAGGAGCATGTGTTTGGACAATGGAGGAGTCGCTGGCCGGCCCAGCATTTATTGCCCATCCCTTGTTGCCCTTAAGAAGGTGGTGGTGAGCTGCCTTCTTAAACCGCTGCAGTCCACCTGCCACTAGGATAGAAATTCCAAGATTTTGACCCAATGACAGTGAAGGAACGTTGATACATTTCCAAGCTCAGAATGTGAATAGTTTAGACAGGAATGTGTTAAAAGAGCAAATAGCAGCACCGCTCTATAGTGACACTTCCCTCAAGGTTTTCCTGAAGACTGACCACGAGGGAAGAGAAACTGTTTTCCCTGCGGATAGCCACAAGTGGCCATCCTGACTGAGGAAGGCAGCCTGGGCAGAGGTGGCTGCGGAGGTCATGGCCTGTGGGTGGCACGAGAGAACCCAGCTCCAGTGCCCTGAGAATGAATGATCTGCTGTGCTCTGCCAGGGTATGTACCACTGTCCCCTCAATGCTTCATGCTGCTGTGAGTGTGAGTTAGCATTGGAAGGTTGGCAGTGTAGGGTCTATCACACAGGAGGTTGTGGGCAGAAATCTCCATCAGAGCCTCATGTGTAATCAATGCCAGTGTTTGTGTGAGGGGAACAGTGAGCTGGAACTTCTCAATAATTCCTTAGCTAGGGGTGGCAGCTCACAATGCAAAGATCATTGTGCATGTCTCTGCAGCATCTGATCCCACTTCCTCTCCCATTCCAGGGAGAATAAGAAATGAAGCCCACTCCTCCCTCCAGTCCCATCTCCACCAGCTGCTCTGAATGAAGGAGATGGAGAGACAAGCAAAGGAGCAGTGACAGAGGGGGCAGAGATCGTGCAGATACTGGGGTGAAAGACAAAGGAGTTTGCCAAAGCTCTGTCTGATATTGTGACTGTGATGCGCAAATGTGTGGCTGTCTACATGGATAGGGTGGTGACCACTGTGGCGAGGCAGGTCCAAAAGAACCATCAGTATGTACTTGGACCTTAACTCCATTGCTCAAGTCATGGATACATTCATCCAATGGGTCAGTGAGAGGAGGCTGAGGGATCTTGTCTTCACTTGTAGAGTCGGAGAATCATAAAGCACAGAAACAGACCCTTTAACCCAACTCATCCATGCTGACTGCGTTTCCTAAACTGAACTAGTCCCATTTGCCAGCATTTGGCCCGTATCCCTCCAAACCTTTCCTATCCACGTACCTGTTTGGATGCCTTTTAATTGTTGTAATTGTACCAGCCTCTGGCAGCTCATTCCACACACACACCACCCTCTGCGTGAAAAAGTTGCCGCTCAAGTCCCTTTTAAATATTTTCCCTCTCCCCTTAAACCTTACCTTCTTGTTTTGGACTGCCCTATCCTGGGAAAAGACCTGGCTATTCACCCCACCCAAGCCCCTCATGATTTTATAAACTTCTATAAGGTCACCCTTCAGCCTCCAGCGCTCCCAGGGGAATAAAGCCCCAGCCTATCCACCCTCTCCTTTTAACTCAAACCCTCAAACAGAATTCCAACTATCTGCATCACCTCAGGGCTGAGGGGTTTCCCAGTGTGCATGGACAGGAGGAGGAGGAGAGACAGGGAAGGTCACCTTGGGATGGTGCAGAAGTACTCTTCAGCTCTAGCTCCCGCTCTCCCAGGGACCTCCCTCCCCAACCAGGTCAGCCTATTGTACTTGCAGCAGACCAGGAGTGCCCTCTGGGCCCAGGACCACCAGAGGGTGTCACCAGGGCCACCTGATCAAAACAGCTTGGTCAGGGAGCTTCCTGCATCATAGTTGTGCCAATGAGGGTGGCAAAGGAACAGAGTGGAGAAAGATTGTTGAAGACACTTGGCGTAAACAGGTGTAAATCTCTGTCCAACGTGAAACTGGACACAAAGTCAGCATTTATTGCGGTGATGCTGTGGTCTGTACAGCCTCTGGTCTTTTCTGTGTTCCTTTTAGGTGACCTTGTGCCTGACCACCCCACACGCTCTCACTCACTCACATCACCAGGAAGTAGTACTAAGGGCATTGAGGTGGTGATCCTGTGTTGCCCTTTGAGAGGAACAGCACCTTCAGAAAGTGGTATCTGCGGCTCAAGATTTGGGTTTCAGCAGTTCAGCTTCTCTATGTTGCTATATTAGACCAATGGTCCTTTGCAAACTAAGTGAAAAACAGAAATTAATGGAGAGTTGAAGAACGACTTGCAATGTTAAATTGACTTCTCTCCACAGCTGCTGCTGGGTTTCTCCAGCATTTTCTGTTTTTGTTTTGGATTTCCAGCATCTGCAGTTTTTCGTTTTTTTTTTTTGCAAACTGAGGCTTGATTCATCTAAACGCAGCCCTGTGTAATCCTGCAGGACACCACACTGATACTCTGACCAGGAAAATGAGCAGGACCTTGGTGCAAAGAAAACAAATTGACTTACAGTTTTAATACCACAAGTAAAGTTCCTTAACATTTTAAAGCAACAGAACAAGTGCTTCCTTGAGAATATTGGCTCATGGTTCTGCTTAGCCATGTATGTTCGTGCAAACTCAATGGTCTTTAACTCCATGGCTGAAAATCTGACGCCTTGGCTCTCTGTGATAAACTGGACAAATCATCCGTCTTTCCTCAAACATGGAATAGAGAACTCTCGAATGCACTTGTGTGATGCAGGTTGGGAGATGCCAGTCCTGGTTGGGGTTTAAAATGAGCTGATGGTGAGGAGGTTTATTGTTGCTCTCGTTTTCACAGCGCCACCTCCTACACCACGTGGTTACAGATCTGTCTGCAGGAGGTTGCAGATGTAGGTGACAGTGTACCTGGGGAGGCTTCCAGCACTGCCTTTCACTCACCTGCGGGGAGTCGGGGGCTGTCAGTTCATCCTCTGTCAGTACGCCACTCGATGGCACTGAAGACCCTGGTTCCCCTCTTGTTCTGTTGTCACTGGGTATTGCTCCTCCTCAGCAATGCTGGGTTAAATTACTCAAATATCGGGCATTGGAGTACTCGGCTGTGAAGGAAAATCAGGATTGAGCTGTTTGTTCTCCATGTTGTGATTTTTGACTTTGTCAGTCTACCCTTGAGGTCCTCATGCAGCTGCTACTGTGCTGGTGAAAGTCTGCCATCCAGCCTCCTGTAGCTGGTGAAGGACATTCTTCATGACCCAGGACTGGTTTTCCTCTTCCTCATCCTGCCATGTGCAAGATCTACCACATCTTCTCCCACCATCACTTCACATGGTCTTCTCCTTTCCTCCTGCATTGCCCCTGTCCTCCTTCAAGCTCCCCCTGTAAGTATCTGTACTTGATATTCCTGTTTCTCCCCCCTCCGATCTGACTCCAACCCATGTCCTCATGCCCAGCATTAGTCCCTTATTCAATTCAATTTCTCATTCTCTCTCCTCGGAGTACCTACTTACCCCATTGTGTTCCTTACTCTAAACATGTGGCTGCCGCCGTTTCCTTGTCCCACTTGCCCCTCTCTGTGATTCTGCCCTCGAGCCCACTGTCCTCCCTTTGTTCCCCAGGATCCTTCCAGTGCTCCCAATAACCACGCTGTTTAATTTCCATTTACTCCCATTCCTTTCTACCTGCCCCACCCTTGGATCTGTACCTTTTGAGGAAACCCCATTTTCTCCCACTGATAAGGTTTGCTGGCATCAGCCTCTGCTTCTCTTGGGCAAATTTCACGCCTTGACCTATAAGACTTTGCACCAAGAAAGCTTAGGAAGGCGGTGGCCTAGTAGTATTATCAATAGACTATTAATTCAGAGACTCAGGCAACGTTCTGGGACCTGGGTTCGAATCCTGGAATTTGGATTCACTTAAAAAGATCTCATGATGACCATGAAACTATTGTCAGAAAAACCAATCTGGTTCGCTAATGTCCTTTAGGGAAGGAAATCTGCCACCCTTACCTAGTTGTGCCCTCATTGTGACTCCGGACTCTCAGCAATGTGGTTGACTCCAAACTGCCCTCTGGCCCAGCCTGTGACACCCACATCCCGTGAAGGAATAAAAAGCAGTTTGGTTTTGATGGAGATGCATAACATGAAGAAATTTGTTGTCTCTGGAGCAGAAGTCAGGTACATGCCTCATAGTTGGCTTTGAGAACATATGTTTCCCATTCTGTCCAACAAATTTGTGCCTGGGAGTGTAATTTCAGCGGAGCTAGGGTCTTAATGAGTATCTATGACATGCTAATCAACATAAAGGAGGTTTCCAGCCATTGGTTCTAAAAACATAATCACAAAACTTTAACATAGTATTCCCTGCCTAACCATGTGAAAACAGCTTGGAAGATTCTGTTCGCTGTGTCACAATTCAAAAAGTAATGTTGTTTGTGGCTTTAGGCAAGGCCCTTTAATTCTCTTGTTGGTGGGGGGAGTAGGGGGGTTTGGGGGGCGAGTGTGTAAATACCAGATTGAAGGGACTCTCACTTTATTGGTCAGAAGCCCATGTGTGAGGTGGGCGTGTGTTAGGTATTTCAGAATAGTACCACACGGTAACATCTCCAGACACGTTACAATTGTGGTGTAAGAACTCCAGTCTTTAGAAAGGAGATTGAGAACACCTTACTCAGAAAGGAAGGATGATATATTGAGTGGTTCCTTCATAGTGCTGCCCCTGTGCTTCCAGTGGCCGGGTTTAGAAGATTATCTGGAGCTGAAATGGTCAGGATTCTGGAACCTCTCTCCCCATGGGATCAGGAATGAGGTAAGGAAGGGCAGAATGTTTCTTTGCTTTGTGCCAAAGTGGACCATCATGTAGCAAAGCCACAAAGCCCCGAACTGCGGACTCATTCCATGTCTCTGACCCCTGTGTGTCTTGTCGACGGATCGTTCTTGGTGGCAATGTTGATACCATGCCTGCAGGCCGTTCCGCAATGAGGGCAGTAGAACTGAGATTGGGTCAGGGACAATTCCCAATGAAACTGTTGGAAAAATCCAGAAATCCTCCTATGCAAAGGGTTTTAATTCGATTTCTCTTTTAGGGGACGTGCTGTATGAAATACTGCAACAGATCAATAACTACAGAAACTTTGCACAGAGGAATTTCATCATGAATGTGCCAGCAGAACAGGCCATGCACACCTCCCCTGGAACTCTTCTCAACCCCTTCGAAGGTATGATTGTATCCTTCAGGCAATTTCCTGGGAGACCCCACTTCCAGTATCAATTATAGGGTGGGGAAGGGTCAATACAGAGCATCACTCAGGGCCATATCTTCCCTACATGACTAACACTCATCCCCAGTCCAAGGTGGACAGAGAACTGGGACCTGAGCAGGTTTACTCATGGATCTCCAGGAAATGTGGGAATGATAGCCACTGAGGTTGGACTGTGCAATATATACAAGAGGAATGAAGAGAGTGAGCCATGTGAAACCCATTTTCCAACGGCAGACGCTGCAAACATTGTTAATTATGGCTCAATTGATGAGAAGTGCGAAGAAGTAATTGAGGGAACTAAAAAAAAAAAAAATTCACATCAGTTCAAGCCCATTTAAAATTCCCTGTGTCATACTGATATCTCGGATCCTGTTTCGATCTAAAAGACTAATACAGAGTGGAATCACGGGTGATAGAGAAAAGACAGGAAAGTGGAGTTGGAGATTATCAGATCAGCCATGATCTCATTGAATGAGACTCATTGGGGCTGAATGCCCTATTTCTGTTTCTACATATTATGTTTCTGCCTTTTTCCCTTGTGCTTATCTTTGTCAAATTGGACATTATCCCTGCTGCTCTTTTCTGTGATCTAAAGAAATACATTTTTCTTTTTAACCATTCTGGCAAAAATTAGCCATCAGTGCAAGCCTGTCATTAAAAGTTGTAATTGGCCAGACTAGTGCAGAAAATGAGTGGGTCAGGGCCTCGCTTAATTTCGACCTCCCTTATCTGTCCCTAATCTCTCTCCCTTGTCCAGCAAAAGACAGGGGGTGACGGTGATGGATCTCCAGTTTCAAACAGATTTGTCCAAAGACAAAGTAATTCTGTCACAAAAGGGTAGATTATTGTTTGTCACATTTCTCTGTAGTGGGACAGCCATTGCGGAAACCCCCTTCTTTGCATGGGGATCCGGGTTCGAATCCCGCCACGGCAGACGGTGGAATTTGAATTCAATAAATATCTGGAATTAAAGGTCTAATGATGACCATGAATCCATTGTTGATTGTTAGAAAAACCCGTCTGGTTCACTAATGTCCTATAAGGAAGGAAACTGCCATCCTTACTTAGTCTGGCCTACATGTGACTCCAGACCCACAGCAATGTGGTTGACTCTTAACTGCCCTCTGGGCAATTCGGGATGGGCAATAAATGGCTGCCTGGTCAGTGATGCTCTCATCCCGTGAATGAATAAAAAAAAAGTGGACCTTATGATCAACTGGAATATTTGATCAACCTTCTCCCATAGGTGCTGGTTAATAAAATGGTTTCTGTAAATATAATGTTTTATTACGAGGGGAATTGAATGCAAGATTAGGGAGGTGATACTTTGGTGAGGGCATTGGTGAGACCCCATCTGGAGGACTGTGTACAGGACTGGCCACCATACTTATGGAGGACGCTAATGTATTGGAAACAGTTCAGAGAAGGTTTCCTTGGCTTCTATCTGGAATAAGCGGATTGCCTTATGAGGAAACGCTAGATAGACTAGGCCTGTATCCCCTGGAGTTTACAAGGGGGTATGTGACTTCATCGAAACATATAAGATACTGAGACGACTTGACCAGGTGGAATGTGAATGTTCCCTGTTATGGGAGAATCTAGAACTAGGGGGCATTGTTTAAAAATAAATGTTGCCTATTTAAGACAGAGATGTGGAAACATTTTTCTCTGGGGATTGGGAGCCTCTGAAAGTATCTTCCTCAAAAAATAGTGGATGCAAAATCTTTAAATATTTTTAAGGCACAGGTAGATTCTAGCAAGGAGATAAAAGATTATCGGGGATATACGGGCATGTAGAGTTAAGGTTAAAGTTAGATCCACCATTGATTTTATTGAATGGTGAAACAGGCTCGAAGGGCCGAGTGGCATCCTGCTGTTTCATGTTTGTGCATTCCAGGCTGACCCTTCAGTGAGGCATTGAGAGAGGGTTGTGCTGCCTGAGATGCCCTTTCAGGTGAGGCGTTAAGTTGGAATCCGTCAGATCAGGTGTACGTGACTCTATTTGAATAAGATGGCTCTCCCAGCATTTCATCTGACCTTCCTCAACCAACATAACCAAAAACAGCTTGTGCACTCATTTACCGCTGTGCTGATGTCTACAGCAATACTTCAAATTAATTCAGCATCTCTGAAACACATTAGAACATTCTGAGAAAAGCTCACTTTGACAAATGATTTCATAATCCCCACATTGGTTTTCAGGGATTATCTGACCTAGCCATGCCCTACAGCTCTCACTGAGGTTCCTGAATTGCCATTCACTGAACTCTGCTGTGTCAAACATGTTCATCCAATAGCGGAGAGCACTGTCATAACACCATGACTGCCTCAATGCTCCTGTGGAAAACGACCTCTCTGTGCAGTTAAATGAAGAATTGGCTGCGTTTCAGCTGCCTTTGATGTACACAAGGGAGAAACTAGAACACTGGCATTTAGAAGTGTTTCTTATTGAGACTCGCTGTGAGTCACACTGGGTTATATTCATAGGTATTCAGCCTGTCTGCATCTTGTAAATAACATCCTGTGCTTGCTTTAAATGGCACAGTGCTGGCTCTGAGTGAGCTGGGACTGAGCAAATTGCAAAACAGACAGCAGCAAATAGAATACTGTTGGAAAATCTAGTTCAGGTTGTTTAATATTGAGGAATTTCAGAAAGTTTCCCAATGGTTTCCATGTCAGTCAATTACGTGGACTCTAACCCTGGTTACTACACAGAGCAGTCAGTGGGACACACCCCAGCCTGGCAGTGAATGGTATTTATCAATTCCTAACAGAGAGGGTTTTATAGTCAGTTAGACCTGAGAAATAAACAACAGTACTTATCATCAACTCTGCAATAATACTAAGTTCAGGAACTGAGATAACAAGATGCAGAGCTGGATGAACACAGCAGGCCAAGCAGCATCATAGGAGCAGGAAGGCTGACGTTTCGGACCTAGACCCTTCTGCTGTTCTGTTCCAAAACGCATTGTTTGCATCTCTCCGAGATGTTCAAAGGACTTTTGAGATTCAACAATTTAAATGGGACCATGAGTTTTATTTAGCAATAATTTTTGTTTTAAACACAGTTCCTGTGGAGTTTCCTCTTAGGCAGTTGCCCTTTTAGAGCAGAGAGGCTATTCTTTGACCTTGTGACCAGTGATGGCAGCTTACTGTACAAGCTATCACTTCTCCCATTGCTTCCATATATGAGTCGGTCTACTTCCTTTTCGGTAATTATTCCCAGTTCCCATCCGTCCCCTCCCCCGCCACCGCCTTCCACTATATCTGTTCCAACCAGTTTGGCTCTTCCCCATGAGAGGCAATGACAGTTTCAGCTTCACCAGGAAGTAGAGGGTGTTGTCACGGTGACTCAACCAGCAAACAGAGAAACAGAAGGAGGACAGGTTCAGTTTCATCCAGTTCTTTTACGGAACCTGTTCTAATCAGGCACAGAATTGTAAAATAACACAGTACAGAGAGAAACTAGTGACTTCACTATGCCAGTTTTGAAGGAGCATATCACACACTGAAATATTTAACTTCCTTTTAAAAGTCAGTCTTGAATCTGCTTCTGTTACCCCTTCAGGTAACAACAGCCCGGATCAGGGCAACTTGATGTTGTAACAAAGATACTTAATTCCTGTCACCTCTGATTTGTCTACCATTTCCCTCTGTCTGTGTCCCAAAGTCCTTCAGTCATAGAGTCATAGAGCTGTACAGCATGGAAAGAGACCCTTCGGTCCAACTCGTTCATGCTGACCAGATATCCTAAATTAACCTAGTCCCATTTTGGCCCATATCTCTCTAAGCCTTTCCTATTCATATACCCATCCAGATGCCTCCACCACTTCCTCTAGCAGCTCGTTCCATATACACACCACCCTCTGTGTGAAAAAGTTGTCCCTCAGGTCCCTTTTGATATCTTTCCCCTCTCACCTTAAACCTATGACCTCTAGTTTTGGACTCCCCTACCCTGGTAAAAAAAAAACTTTGACTGTTCAGCCAATACTTGCTGCTCATGATTTTATAAACTTCTATAAGGTCACCCCTCAGCCTCCGATGCTCCAGCAAAAATAGCCCCGGCCTATTCAGCCTCTCCCTGTAACCCAAACCCTCCAACCCTGGCAGCACCCTTGTAAATCTCTTCTGAATCCTTTCAAGTTTCACAACATCTATCCTATAGCAGGGAGACCAGAATTGAATGCAGTGTTTCCAAAAGTGTTACTTGAAAATAGTATCTCTTGACTTAATCTAACACTTCATGGTATTGAACATCTCGATCGAATTCCCTTAACCTTTCCTGCTGCAGGGAGACAATCGCAGGTTTACCTTTGTCTCGATGTAAGTGCCTTTTTGATAGCCTTCTCATGAATTGATTACTTAATTAAGACTCAGTAACATATAAAGATGGCAGGTGATGTATTGTGACTGCAGAGTGTGGGAGCTTTGGGTTGCAAGTGTGATCTAGAGCAAACACATCTCCAGTAAGTGTCTGCAACTCTGGTGACTTCAGCTCAGAGTTGATGAGCTGGAGGCTGAGCTGCAGACAACTGGACATTTGTTCCAGAAGGTGGTCAAACATTTTAGGGGCAGATATTGATGCTCTGTTAGATGGAACTGCTGGATTCTTGGACTTTAGCCAGTTGTCCAACAGGTTTAAGCTTCTTGCAGCCTGCATGACTGGGAGTGGGCACTGCACAGTAATTGACCAAACTGACTGTAACACTATGGTACAGGAAGTCATAGAAACATAGCAAATAGGAGCAGGAGGAGGCCATTCCGTCCTTTTGAGCCTATCCTATATAGTTAACATTTCTAGCAGGGAGAGTTAATAACAATGTTGGGGATAGTATAGTCAGTATTGTTAGCTAATGGTGAACCTTACGGAATGGAGAGCAGATTATTGATGTTAATGATTGAGAGAGAAGTGATAGAGTTGTTACTGTGGACGAGTTTTCACATTAACAGGATGT